AGGTGGGTGGTCATCTGCCTTGTCATCTGTGCAGCATGTATCAGTAACATAACCCTACAGTAACTTTGCTTGGTCCACCAGATGAGCATCAATAGTTACCCATGTTGCTGCACATTGTAAATTTGTGGTGTTCAATAAGTCAATGACATTGCCCACTCTGGTTTGAATGACATACAGCTTCTGGCAACCAATAAAACCTCATGTTTATTGAGTGTCTGTGAGTGTTTGAGCATATTGTTCAACTCTGTCTCAGATTTCTGGACTGCTGCTGTATGTCTAGCATACCAAGCTGAGGATGCATTACACTTCTTCTGGTATATTACCTTTAGACTGGAGGAAAACCTGCTAATAGGGTTGGGAAGATCTAGCACAAGGAGTTCTTGTAGGATACAAACATGTAGCCGCAGAATACTTGCTGTAGTATAGGTGTAATAGGTGTATAGTGTAGGCTGTAGTCTTGCATAACTAATATGGATGAGGGATGTTACCCTTAAAAGCATAACTGCCACTACTGTTCAAATATTGAGGACAAAAAGAACACTTCACTTTGGGTTTCAGTCGTGGCCCTCTGTTAAGTTTGATCAATCAAACTAGTTAAATAAATTAGAAATGTGGCTACAAATATACTTGGGTCTTAAAGGGTCATAAATCTAATAATCTGAACTTTAGGCCTTAAAATGTCTTAAAATGATAGAAAGATATTAAGTTCTTAAATATGGATTTGATGAATGAAATTTAAGTTACTTAATTTTGTATTGATCAACTACAAAAAGAAACCAACCAAAGAACCAATGTCGATTTTTTTTCATCTTCCACAGTATGGACGTAAAATAGGTCTTAAATAACATTCAGGTCTTAAAAAGTATTAAATTAAACCTGTTGAAACTGACAGAAACCCTGTTTACTGCAAGCTAATGTTTGTACGGTTAAAGTTGTAAACGGGAATGAGCTGACATTACAGCTCAACAGTTGTTGAGACTTGTCATTGTGACCCACAAATGTCAAAGTGCTGATAGTGCTTGAGGAAAAGTCAGGGGAGCACCAAAGTCATCAGGACTTAACTGGAACTGGTTCTCGATTCCCCTCCCTAGCAGCCATGCAATATTAGTGCACTCCACCAAAGACCTCAAATGCATTTAACATGTAGAACTCCAAGGTAAAAGATTGTCAGAAGCCTAGATTATGTACTGTACTGTCAGTGTACTGCATTGTCATATCTCTTTCTGTGCTTTGTCATCTCAGCCAGGGATAGACATCCAACCACTGCCTTTCCCATTAGACTGTGGATCCTGGGCTTCCAGCATGAAAAGATGCTGAAGACACCTGCTCATTGTCCTGTCACTTCATGAAAACATTGCAATAATTCATGGGTTATCCATAAAAATGTCATGGGGAGATGAAGGAGTGTAACATTCTTTCTCCTACAGTACTTGTGATCATTTTAAATCCCCATCAAAGTGTACTGTTTTGAAAGGCAAGCTTTAAAAGGAAAGGCTAATTTGTAACCATGTTTCCTGCATCGTATGACCAGCCCACTGCTGGTACTTTGGTGTAAAGATATGCGTGATGTTATCACCATTTTGGTTTGACATTTATCCCATGATCACATTCTGTTGTGTACTCATACTCATACCAGCAGAGAGTCAGAGGAGTGAGGACCGCTGACTCATTGAAAGGCAGTGATGCATTGTGTCTCTGGAGAATTTGAGCTTGCTGCTTCATGTGGATAAACATTAGTTTGTTCATTAGAATTAATGGACTCTTACTGGATTCTTTATGGTCCACCTTGCACCTTTGTTGCATGCTTTGAACCTTCAGAACATCAGTACTGTAAAGGTTCAGATCATTTTGGATGATCTGGAAGAAATGGAATATAATATTCATTTGTGTATAATAACCTGAAAATAAGAATTTTTTTTGCTACTTGAAAGAGCCCTTTTTATCTACATAGGGAGCAGGTCATCTTCTATTGAGGCCGCCTTGTTGAACTGACATGTTTCTGCCCAGAACGCTGGACCCTGGACCCCTAAACCATGATTGCATCTCGGATGTGGTCATTCAGAACATCTATTAACACTTTTGCCTTCAAAGATGATAAGATGGCACATCGTATGAACCAATTTGTCGCATGTTGTTATCATATGAGTTTGCAGTCATTGCATCATTACCTTGTACATCGATCCCACGTGATGGATTCATTATCCAAGGCTTGTTTTAATCACAAGTAGTCCAAGTTTTCTGTGTACCCATATTTAAACAATTAACTCTACTCTATGATGGCAGCCTTTTACCCTGCCTTTGGATGTGGCCGTTCATCTACTAAAACTTTTGCCTTCAAAGTTTATTGGATGGCATGTTGTGAGAACCTATTTGTCGTTTGTCTATTATATGAGTATGTGGCCATTGGTTGAAAGTTGACTCTCATTACCTTGTACACCCGTGAGCAGCATGCCATAGGCAGTAAGCCATGGGCAGTAAGCCACAGATCACGTCATTCTCCATCCAAAGCGATGGGGTCAGGATCCAAGGTTTGTTTTGATCACAGGTAGGGTCCACGTTTTTTCTGTCTGTCTATATTATTTGGCATGAGTACACCATAGGCTCTTTAGTACTCAGTACTGAAAACATTTATATCGCCAGTATAGTAATGAAATTGACGGAACTTGGTATCTCTGAAGGCCTAACCAATGATCTGAGCAGTGGTTCACTGATTTCAGTGGCCTGCTGATTGCCTGTATCTACTTTCTGTTACATTGCTATGATTAGGATTTTGACTGTGTCTAATGGACAGTGGAAGCTAAACTGGAAAGTGTGAGTGGTTCACACTGTTATCAAGGAAAAAATGAAGACAAATACAATATAACAGAACAGTTTACCAATGTTTGGATATCTGTTTGCTGGCATCATGTCTATAGAAATTGACACATTTATATGAAGTTAAATTTCATTGTTTTTCCATTTCAGTGCTCAGATGTTAAAAATGTGTAAAAATACTGCCTAATTAGGAAAAGCTGCCATTTTGCCTT